CCGGGCCGCGGCCGCGGTGCCCCTTTAAGCCGACGTCCCCCGCCCCGGCCGCGCTTACCGGCTGGCGCGCCTCCGCCTCCTCCGGGCCCGGCCGCGGCGCTCCCACAATGCACCGGGCGCCGGGCGCCCTTAAGCGTCGCCTGAATAAAAATGCGGCCCGGCTGCGAGGCCCGGCCCGCCCGGCGCCGCGGGGGGCGGCTGCGCTCGCACTCGGGCGGGCGGGCGCTGGCCCCGGGAGCCGAGCCCCGCTCCCACCTCCAGTTCCCGGGCCCCGGGAGCTCGGGGAGCTGAGGCGCCGGGGCGAGAACCTGGCACCGACCCGAGCCGCGCGCTCATCCTCAGCGGGCGGCTTCCTGCGCGGCGCGGGGCGGCGCGGGGCGGTGCGAACGCTCCAGCACGACCTCGTCTAGCGACGAAACTTTTTTGAAGTGGATCAGCATTTTCCAGATCACGCGGGGGACCGAAAGTTTTGGGTAGCGAACAGGGCTGTGTAAACGCGTTCGGGTTTGCACGCTGCAGATCCGCTCGCTCTTGAAACTTGTTCGCCAGTCTCCTAGGTTCGAGTCAGGGGTGGGTGCCAGGTGGACCCTGGCTTCTCTGGGCTCCTGTCCGTTCGCCACGCCTCGCAGGGAGTTCGGGGAGTTCGGGGAGTCCCCGGCAGCTCCCGCTTCCGCGCTGGGCTGTTAGACTGGTGTGAGGAGCCGCCCGGCCCTGCGCCCCACAAAGCGGGGTGCCTGGGAATCACCTGAGGCGCCACTGTCACCTGGCACCAATCCTGGGCTCCTACATGGGGGAAAGGAACAAAGAAACCTTAACCTTCGCTCCTATTGTAAGACGATGGTGCATTTTGGACAATGTGAGCTTTTTACAAAAAAATTCACAGAAAAAAGATTTGGGGGGGGCAGGGAAGGTGACGCAGCAGAGGTGACCAGGACGCTGTGTGTTACCCTGAGAACCAGTTTAGCTCGGTAGCAGTGTTGGAGGCCGCCTCTCCAGAGGGAAGCTGGGGCCTCGTTTCTGGTTAAGAGGTCACTACACAAGGGAAGCCTCCACTTCCGCTGAAGGCAGGCGGGAGTAACAGCACCACGGGGCAGGGCTGGCTGTGTTTTAAGGTGTGAAAGGGGGAAGAAGCATGAGATTACCTCTAACCGAGCTGGGAAGTACTGGGAGGCAAACTAGTCTGGGGTGTGAGTTAAATTCCTAGCCTGCCTGCCATTCCAAGTGATTGGGAAACCAGCTACGAGTTTGAGATGCAAATCCAGGGGCCATCAGCATGTAAATGGAGTGGGAACCCTGGGGAGGGAGGTGGGATTAATCCGAGAGAGCTCTGAAAAAACTGAAGGACACCTTGGACAGAGCTCTGCTGAAGCCGGAAATGGAATGTCTGGGAGAGCCTGTGGGAAGCAAGTGTGCCCAGAACCAGTCCTTCTTTCCGGTAGCCTCCCTGGCCACAGCGCGTCTGTGGCACTGAAGCTTGTCTGCCAGCCTGTCTGTCCAAGGGCCTCGTGCATCCTAGGAAGCACTGCCAGTGAGCCCTGAAACGTGCCGGCCCTTGAAACCAGAGCCCGACCTTTAGACCCTTGGCTGAGCCAGGGCCTCTGGTCCGATCTGGGGCCCGGATGAGCCAGCAGACCTGTTCCTCCCTCCCTTTGCCCTAGATACTGCTTCACCTTCTCATTCCCCCAGCCCGTCTTTCTGCCACTGACCTGACTCAGCCCCCCACCCCACCCCACCCCAGGGTTCACCAGCACCCTACCTGGGAGCCACTTCCCTTGGGTTCTCAGGTTCTGGCTCCACCTGAGTTGGTCCCGTGGGTTGTGCTCCCTGGCTGAGGCTCATGAAAACACCTGTTTAGCACCCTGTTACATCTTGCAGGTATAAGGGGTTGACTTGTGTCTCCCCAAAAGATAATGTTGAAGTCTCACCCCCCCCCAGTACCTATGAGTATGGCTTTGTCTTGAAATAGGGTCTTTGCAGATGTAATCAAGTTAAAATGAAATCAGTGAATTAGGGTGGGCCCTAAATCCAGGGCTTGTGTCCTTATAAGAAAAGAAATTTGGCTGGCTTGCAGCTCTGTGATAGAGCACTTGTTCAGTCCCCAGCGCTGGAATAAAAAAGTCCTGAGACTTCTATTCCTAATGTTCTTTATTATCCCCCAAGTGTGAACTGACCAGAGCAAATGCACTTTGTGTGTATGTGTGTATGCACAATGCTGGAGATGCAGTCATGGGCCTCATGCATGCTAGGCGACACTCCCACTGGGGCACATTCCCAGTCCTGAGCAGACACAGTCTGAAGAGAAAGCAGGTACCCTCGGAGAAAACCCTCTAACTCCTACCTGGAGCCCTCCCCTCCTCTGTCCATCAGAGTCAGTGTCTCAGAGGGGAACTGCCCTCTGCCTGTACCCCAGCTTCTACCCCTTCAACAGTGGCCCATCTCTGAGGACTGACCCCACCCCATGTGAAAGTGCTTCACAAGCTTGCTGTCACAACTCTCCACAGTCTCCTGGGGGTTCCATTTTCCTTTCCTAGGGGAGGAAGCTAGGACTCAGCGCAATTAAACAACTTGCCCAGGGTTATCAGGTAGTCTGGGTTTCCCCAAGGTAGGTCACCAGGGATTAGGGGGAAGGAGGTAAATTTGGGAAGTGATCCCAGGAAATGTGAGTCATGAAGTGAGCACAATAAGACCAAAAAAAGAGGGAGAGAAAGTCAGAAAAAAATGTTCATGAGCATAAACAGTGTTACGGCTGATATCTAGATGGCCCCTGAAGCCTCGTGCACTGACAGGTGGGGCTTTGGGGAGTGGCTGGATCACGGGTGGGTGATACTGGATAGGTCCGCCGCTGGGTTTCACATATTTCTGAGTGTAGATGATGGGCTTACTGAAGAGGGGAGATCCACCTAGGCTGTAGGTGGCACCGAACAATAGGCTTGTAGCTTGGGTGGAATAAAAGGAAAGAAGGAAATCATGCTGCTTTCTGCCTGCCCTGCCATGGACTGTTTCTCCTCTGCCACTCCCCTCTGCCATGCTGTTTTGCCTTGGAGCCAGTGAACTATGGACTGAAACCCCTACAAACTGTGAGCCAAAATAAACCTCTCCTCCTTTGACTTGTACTGTCAGGTATTTTGTCCCAACAACGAAAAAGTAACTAAAATAACTGGTTTACTGCTGGGAACAACAGTGACTCAACTTGGCCCTACTGGGCTTTTTGAGAAACTGTAGGGAACATTTCGGAGCAGAGGCAGAAGTAGGTAATGACCCATCCAAAGATAGCAGTGTACCCTGTGAATATGTTATGATACAAGGCAGAGGAATTTAGGATTCAGATGGAAAGAAATGTGCTAATCAGTTGAGTCTACTGTATACTATAGCCATTATTCTGGATTTTCCGGGTGGCCCCATGGTAATCATGAGCCTCCTGAAGAGTGGCAGCAAGAAGGGAAGGATGACTGCAGGACAAGGCCTGTGGTTCTTGTAGTCGATGAAGATGGAAGAAAGGGCTACTGACCAAGGAAAGCAGGCAGCTGCTAAGGAGGGAACAGAGTCTCCCCCGAGCCCCTGGCAGGGATGCCAGCACCCTGACCTTGACCCAGCGAGATGCATGTCAGACTTCTGGTCCACAGGATAGCCAGCTAATTTGTGGTAATTTGTCACAGTAGCAAGAAAAATCAAATCCACTCCCTGAAATTTGTGCGCTGGCGGTGGTGGTGGGATTGTTACTGTTATTGACTCACTCCTGTACTAACTTGGTTGAGTTCAGGTTCCCCGGTGGTGTCAGCTCCCGACTTTCCCTTCCCGGGACTGGAGGTAAGTCAGCTTTAAGGCCAGCAGTGCAGCCCGGATCACCAGAAGGCCCCAGAGGTAGATGCTGCAGCAGGCTGAACACTATCCCCTATAGCTGCAGTGAAATCAGAGGTCCCCAGTGTGGACAGTGCTGCCCAGGGGCTACTGGGAGCCCTGAGGCTAGGATTTGGGCCAGAGCTGTCTGGAGCCTGGAGCCCTCGAGCCTTGGGTGGGTGGGGTCGGGTGGGGTCTCCCTGTAGCATTTGAGGCTGGTATCTCATGCTCTCCTTTTTAAATGCTCCCAACCATGGTTAGCTCTTTCCTCACTTCATCATGATTGCCAAAACCTGTGAATATGTTTGTTGCCTGACATGACAGAAGGGGCTTTGCCCCTTCTTGAGGTGAGGAAGGCTCTTGAAATGAGGAAACTAATGTGGAGTACTCAGGTGAGCTGGGTCCTTGTAAGGGAAAAGAAAGGACAGGTGTCTTTGTCATGTCCCCGTTGCTGGGACAAAATACCCAACCTCTATAACTCAAGGAAGAAGTTTATTTTGGTTCACTTTTCAGTCCAAAGTTGGCTGGCACTATGGCAGGACAGTGTGGCAGAGGGGCAAGGTGGAGGAGAGCTGCTCATAGCATGGCGGACAGGAAGCAGAGTGTCAAGGGAGGAGGCAGGGAAGGAGAGGCCCAGGGTGATCATTCTTCCAACCAGACCCCACCTCCTACCAGTAAGTCAGCTCCAACACCCTGGTAATTCAATTACCTTCCGAAGGTCCTGCCTAAGATCCCGGGAGGCTTTGGGGAAACATGAGATATAAACTCCAACAGCAGGAGACTCCATTCTCCTCTGGAGCCTC